GGCAGAAGGAGATCTCTGGTGTTCCAGCAAGAAGGCCCCTTCTCTGGGTGCAGGAGGGGAGCAGGATTTGGGCAGCCGCTTGTGGGGCTTCTGCAGGAGGGATGCTCTGGGTGCCCCTTGACTGGGCAGCTCATTGGGGACCACAGGCTTTAGAAATGCTCTCCCCAGGTCGTGGTATCAGGGTGCCTCTGGTCACCTCCCTCCATGCAGGGGCCCGGAGCTGCTCCAGGGCCTGGGGAAGGAGGCTGTGGGTGACAGGACCAGCACCAAACCACCAGGCCAGCGTGCCACCAAGGCAGTGTAGCAGGCCTGGGGACAAGGGGTGAGCAATGTGAGGGCTCCAGGGACATGTTGCATATGCCAGGCAGCAAAGGCCACGGCACGGACGCAGCTCCTGGAGAAGCAGCTCCTTCCGAGTGCGGCTGGGGCCGATGGTGCACGTGCCGCCCTCCCCTCCCCTGCCTGTCCCATCCAACCCTTCCCCTCTGCCCCAGATCATCGTTTTCGACCAGGAGAACTTCCAGGGCAGGCAGATGGAGTTCACCACCGAGTGCCTGAACCTGGGGGACCGCGGCTTCGACCGGGTGCGCAGCGTCATCGTCACCTCTGGACCGTAAGTGACCCTGGCCATGGAGGGGACCGTGGCCACGGGGATGCCCTGGGGAGGTGGGGACATGGTCCTGGGAGCAGCCCTGGGCACAGCACCATGTGCATTTCTCTGCAGTCCGGGCAGAGAGCGGGGCAGGACCAGACCGTGGGTCTCCCTTGAGGGGTGCAGGATGGCATGGGCAGGGGGAGGATGCCAGGGCCATTTGCAAAGCAAAGGGCAGTGGAGGCAAAGGCAGAGGCCAAGGACAGGCGTCCCTCAGATCTGCTGCCTGAAGCTGACCATGAAATGTGACTGCAGGTTTTAGAATAGCCAGGGTGAAATGATGCAGGTGCCTTGGAGCAGGCTGGTGGCCAGGGCCATGGAAACACCGTGCCTGGGAAGGCAGCGCAGCAGTGCCAGGGCAGCCAGTGCTGCAAGGAGGATGTGTGGGATGGGACACAGCTTGCCCTGACACACTGGGCAAGTTGACCCGTGACCACCTTGAATGACACCAAGTAGCACCAGTGACAACTTCTTTATTAAGAAGCCAGAACATCCAACTCTTCTTGAAACAAAGAGGGGATGGAGCAGCCCCAAAGGAGCTCGGGTGTGACAGGCAGGCAGCTGCACTCGGAATGGAAGGGTGAGACTTGGAGAACAGAGCACTTACGTGACACTGGGGTCCTCAGAGTGTCCTTGAGAATCACTGGTGAGACTCCGTGCCACAAATTTACTCAGAGAAAGAACAGCAGAACCAACCAAGCTGAGCCTCAGAAGCCAGTGTGTGGTTGTGCTGCCTGTGGCGCCAAAACACATCTCCTGCCATTAAGAAAATACCTGTTGGTGCCTGCAGAACAGGTACTATCCCCCTCCAAGGGGAATGCAGGGCTCTTCTGGTGCCTGGCTTTTGGAACCCCATGTTAGTGACGTTCACAGCACAGCACTGCTAAAGAGCTGACATTGCAGCTGAACAAGCCCCGAGCACCTGCACTCTGGGAACGGGATTAGAGCCAGAGCTGGCTGCAGCTCTGCAGCCAAGCATGCGAGCGTGCCAGGATTGCACAGCCCTGGCAGCCCTGCCCCACGCTCCATGGGGCAACAGGGAAAGCAAAGTGCTGTGATAATGCCAGGACCAGTCTCTGGTGAGCAGCGTGTGGGGCTCACCAGCAGCTCCGCGGGCTCAGCAAGGGCAGCACCACGAGCACGCCGGTGTCTGCTGCAGGCCTTGCATGTGTGCACCAGTGAGTGTGAGCCTGCCCGCTCAGCGCTGCCAGCTCTGCACGTGCCATAAAGGTGGGATCAGGATGGTGGGACCAGTCCCGACACCCGGCCAGCCCGGCTCTGGCACCCTGCAGGCAGGCAGAGCAAGAGCGGAGCCGCTGTCTTGTCCTCCCCATGTCCCCAGCTGGGTGGCCTACGAGCAGGCCAACATGCGCGGGGAGATGTTCATCCTGGAGAAGGGGGAATACCCTCGCTGGGACACCTGGTCCAGCAGCTACCGGAGCGACTGCTTCATGTCCATGCGTCCCATCAAAATGGTGAGTGGGGCGGCAGCAGAAGCACCCAGTGGGGTCTGGCCTGGACCCGTGCTGCTCCACGCCGTGCTGCATGACCCACACCTTGTCTTCCCCAGGAGGCCGAGGAACACAAAATCTCCCTGTACGAGTCCGCTGACTTCAAGGGCAACAAGATGGAAATCCAGGAGGACGACGTGCCCAGCCTCTGGGCTTATGGCTTCTGTGACCGTGTGGGCAGCGTGCAGGTGCCCAGTGGAACGTAAGTGAGCTCCTGCCGGACCCCCCCGTCCCCCCAGCTCTGATCCCGAGCACTGGGCGCCCGGGCAGCCTTTGGTGGCGGAGCCCATCA